TATATAATTATAATTCCTGAAAAGAAAAGTATAACAGATGTAATATCCCATTCAGTAATTAATAAAAGTAATTATTTTAGTTCTAAGTTTGAACTAATTACTTTTATTAATAATGCTCGTTCCTAGTTTCGAGCCTAGTTATTAAGTTATTCAGTTAGAAGTTCGACTTTAAGTTAAAAGTATTCTCGGTTAAATTTTATTCAGTAATCAAGCCAGTTTTAGAAATTAATTTCTAGTTCATTTATTTTATAAATGGACATTAGTAATAACTTATAAGTCGGAATTAATTATTTCAAGTTGATATATTAATTGAGGTCGAGAAAACTCGAGAAATTGTAAAAGTCGAGTAGTAATCAGAACCGAGTAAGTTCCATCGAGTTATGTTCGAGCCATGATTAAAAACTAGCGGAAGTCTTATATTATTTCCTTAGAAGTTTCCTAACATGATTAAGTTTTGGGGATTATGACATGTGTTTTGATGACTAAGTTAATTAATTTCCACGTAAGTATTTTTTTATGGACACTTGCTTTAGGAGAATTAAAGGATGATGTCTTTCATTCCAATTAATCTTATCTCTTTTGCCTATATATTAAATAGCATCAGGAAAGAGGTGATTTTAAAATCATATGTTAAGTAAGTCCACTTCTTTTAAGAAAATGTTTTATTAATACCATAATATTGGTTAAGAGGTGATATTATATTATTTTATTTCCTTAGCATAAGTCCAAATTACGTGTCCTTTTTCTTTACACCAGCACTTTTGATTTTGAGCAATTCTTGTAGAATAAATCAATTAAGTATAAAGATAAGGACACATAAGCTGATGAGTAAGCTAGTATTTATTGCTATTAAGCTTTTACTTTCATCCATTTTTGGAGTTAAGTGGACGCAGCAGATAATCATAAATATAGCTCCATTATTTTTGATAAATTCATTTGTATGTAGGGTAAGATTAGGTGGGATTTTGATCATGTTTTTGACCCATTAGACAAGATTTTCACACACCAGTTTAATATATTAAGTGACAAGGAAATAATATTTTTATTTCTAAATTTCTTACACCAAGAAATCAATGAAAGGAAATTTCAGCAACCTTATCTTTTCCTACAAAATTTCACGCAAAGATATATATATATATGTATCTTACCAAGTGATTTGAGGTGAGTTGTACCTCATGTCAGCAACTAAATTTTCCACTCCTCATTTAGCATAAAAGTAAGAAAAAGCCGAGAGAAAAGAGTATCGCCAGAAATCGCTGAGAAAGAATTTTTCGGATTTCAGTATCTCGATTGAGGTAAGAAAGTCTAAATTATTTAGTTATCATATGATAATTTATGAATTATAATGATAAGAAATCCAGTCATGCATGCTTTTAAAGGATTATTTCCGAAATTGAATATTTAGACATTTTAGTCTATTTAAATTATTAGAGAGAAATATGAAATTTCTAGAATTTTTGTTTTTTTCGGTTTTCGATTGTAGTTGGAATTTATGTCCGATTTTAGTTCCGAGAAATACATTAAATTATTGTCTCTCTATATTTTTAGTAGACTACAAGATAAGAAAAAATTTTCAGCATAAAAATAAAAAAAAATGTCGAGAGGTTATAATGGTGACTTTTATCATATGTATCAATGTTTTATTAAGTATTTTAAATGTTGAGGGGGTCATTATCAATTAGCAAGTGAGTTTTCTTTCTTCAGCATTATTCACGTTTTGTCCCATATGTAGGAGATTTAATGATCATGTTCCATTATTTTTTCTCCTCCCACAAGATATGATTTTTAAATAATTTTTCTTTAATGGGTGTTGATGTCAGATAGTGAAAGTTTGAATAAGCCACGGAAGTTGACAAAAGATGATCATATTTATCTTTTCATTCAAGTTAATTTTTATATAATTGTTAAATTCAAGTGGGTGACAATTATATCGGATGGAGAGTGTTTATATACATCTCCAAGGTGATCAAAGGTTTCTTGAAAAAGCATACAACCAAAGAATAGTTTCATTAAAAATAATAATAATAATAATATTAGTCATTATTAAATTAAAAGAGAAGTCCCAACACCTCCTAACTTTGTCTATATATGCAACTATAAGATGTTAGATGGTTTTATCTCATATGATAACAGCCAAGTTAGTATAATTGTGCCACATATAAAAATAAGAGAAGCCGAGAGTTAACGAGTAAGCAAGAAGAGGCCTAGTTTCGTTTTCCTATTTCCGTGAAGGTTAGCTCGTGCTTATTAATTTTTATAGTTATTATATGATGTTATGAGATTTATCATGTGATTAAATCAAGTCATGCTCATGTTTAAGTAAAAATTTTAGATTTTTGAATATTGTTAAAATTCGAACTTTTAGACATGTTCATGAATAGGCCAAGATGGATATGTTAAAAATCATGATAAATCATGTCTTTAATGTTGATAAAAGTAAGCGTGTTTTAAGTTTAAATACTCAATCAAGTATAATGTGAAATATAGTTATTTTCACATTTGAGTTATGACGTGCTAAGTATAATACCATATTGATGTTTATGAAGACAGGATTTATATAAGGTTAAGTAATTGACCTTAAGTAAAAGTAAAAAGAGAAGTTAAGTATAAACTTGAGAAATAAAAAAAAGTTTAATGAATTTCTATAAGATTTGGATAAGTTAATAATCCTAAAAATCTTATTGAGTATATGAGCATAGTACTTAGTATATTTGTCTATATTTGATGTAACTTGCAGATACAGTACCAGTACAGCACTTATCGTTTTTCAAATGATTTCAACGACAAAAAGGTGGGGACCCTGAACGGGTATCACATTGAGTACGATATGTGATTGGGATGAGGAGACCATCAGTTGTCTCAAAAGTTATATCCCGAAGTTAAGGTTTATTACGCTTGGGATGAGGAGGCATTAATTTGTCTCATAAGATTATATCCTAAGTTCTGGTGGAGGCGAAACGGGCCTTAGAAATATCCATCAGAGTGTGCACACGTACCCGATTAACCATCGGCCAGAGAAATGAAAGTTTAAGTTTAAGTTACCGATCAGATATCGGTTTATGATTATCCATATTCGTTACTCACCCCCATGAGTTTTAATTTCAGGTAACAGGTTGAAGAGGAGGTGTGAGTGGAGCAGTGTTGGTGTGGATCGTGGATTCAGATGAAGACAAGCTTTGATACGGACATTTAAAACAGTCTGTATAATTAACCACGTTTTTAAGTATTTCCGCTATGCACATTGAGTATTGAATTTGCATTTTAATGAATTTTAGATACAAGTTTTTACCATTATGAGAAATATGATTATGGTATTTTAAAATGCAAGTTTAAAGGAAATCTGTTTTAATTATGTCTAAAGAAGTATTAGACAAAAGTTTAAAGATAAACGGATTTTCAAGATGATGAGTTTGAGTAGCATTCCAAGTTAGTCGCAAAAGATTTCAAAAGAATTAAGTATATTCGAAGTAAAAGTTGCGAAAAATTTACTCTGATAAGCGGGGTGTTACAACAGATATATATATATATATATATATATATATATATATATATCTTGTTTTCATAAGAGTGATGAAAATATATCGTTTACACACATACACACACACACACACACACATATATATATATTCTTAAGAGAATAATGAGAATATCTTATCTCTGTTGAACCGTTACTGTAGATAAAATTCAACAGAACTTACTATAATGCATCAATGGATAAAGAGTATATTTTGCATATCTTCTTTCACAATAAATTTTCTCTACTGAACCATTACTGTAGATAAAATTCAACACAACTTACTATATATTGTAGAGTAATATTGTGAAAGATAGAAAAATAAGAAATGATAACAAAAAGAGTGAAAAAGTCTCAACCATAAGAGAGAGAAAGAGTCACAATACGGTGTTGACCGTGAGGACTGAATAAGACAATACATATTTATCATCCAATTATTTAGTGGAATTTTCGTTATATATGAGGTTTTTTACATTGGTTTTTGTCCTAATTGATTAAATAATTTGAGACCAAAATACATAGTTGTTTAATATATTTTATTTTTTATTGATTTCATTTGTTTCATATAGACCTAAAATTGAGGTCATCTAAAAGTTTGTGACTGAAGTGACTTCACACAATTTTTTTCGATCCACAAGTATGAAACTATATTTTTTTTATGAATATAAATAATATATTTTGTTCATTATTGTCAATTTTTTGTTATTATAACACATGTTTTTTTTCTTAAGAGAATGACCAGAATATATTACTGCTACTAAATTGTTGCAATAAACAAATTTAATGCATCAACTATGTTTTTCTTATCTTATATAATAAATATTCGTTTTATCAAATAAATTTTACTCTTTTTATAATTTATATAATACAATTTAAATGTATTTTTTATTAATGTACATTCTTAAAAATTATATTAAATTACATTTTGCATAAGTTACATATAAAAAATAAGTAATTTCTTAGTGACATGAACATAAATAAATATTGGCATGTTTGTAATTTTACAAATAGTGATTTATCTTGCACGTTATTATAATCACCATCAGACTTATTTTGCAAACAAATGAATTATTGAATTTATTTTTTTAATTAGAAAAATGTGCAAAAATATAGTAATCAAAATTGAGTTATTTTTGTATGTTTTTAAGTACATTTTTTTATTATAAATAACTCATACTTGTACATTTTTATTTGAATTATTCTATACCAGATTATCTATAGAATAGAAATAATGTCTTATTTATTCAACAATGATAAAAATTGTTATTTATGACAATGATAATGAATATAATTCATTCACTACTAATATTATATTTAAGAAAATAATTCAAATATAATAATACCAAACAAACGAAGCGAAGCTCAGTGAAGTCAGAAGTATTAGCGAAGCGAAGTAAAAATTGTTATTTATGACAATGATAATGAATATAATTCATTGACTACTAATATTATATTTAAGAAAATAATTCAAAATATAATAATAATATTTTCATCTACGTCATTTTGAACATCAAGCGCAGGGTACCGTACTAGTTACGTTAAAATTAAAGTGTAAACAAGCAACTCTGGCATAATTTTTATTTTTTATTCCAATAATGGGGACTCAATTAATTTCATCCCGTCACTTGTCAACCACTCATCAAAATAATATCACACCCCCACACTCCACATGTTTCGATTCTTTCATAATCTGTTACTCATTTTCTCTCTCTACGCAGTATGTGATTCTTTCTTCATTCTGTAACTGGAAAAATTCGCCGGTGGAAAAGCAAGACATGTATTCATGCCACACCTCCGCCGTGTTGATTAGCCCCAAAACTTGTTTGTTCCTGCGCAGAAATCGATTCTTTGTTGGCAGGTCCGTTAAATTCAGGTGCATCCTGGGTCCGGTCGTGCCGGAATTCGTGGTCTCGGCGTCCTTGAGCTCCGTTCTCACTTCCGGCAACATGATCGCGGCGGCGGCGGCGGCTGCCGGTTCGGGCTCCGTTCATGGAGCTGTGTCTTCGGCTATCACGCAAGTGGCTGTGACTGCAGTGGCGATTGCCTCTGGTGCTTGTCTTTCCACGAAGGTGGACTTTCTATGGCCTAAAGCTGATGAGCAACCAGGTCAGAGTGTTTGCCGTAACTTCAGTTATATAGTTGTAGTTCATGTATTCTCTTTTGCTTGTAAAAGTTAGATTGGGCTCTTTTACCCTGGTTAGTCCAGGATCATGGTAGTGTTGGGTCACTGTCCTAAGAACATGCAGCAACAAATTTGAGAGTTCTGTTCGCATACTGGACACTATTATTGAATCTGCTGAAATGGTGGAGATGAGATGATGAGCAACATTTAGAATCATCATGTTATTTGATTGTGATATATATTTAGAAACAAACGTTCTAGACACATGTTTATATCAAACTATGGTGAATTTTCTATCCAAGTGGTTGGAGTTTGCTGAATGGATCGAGTTCATTAGACGTCTTGTGAACTAAGTTAAACTCAAAATTCTTTTGTGCCACAGTGTTCATTCTGATGAAGTGAGTACAGTACATTTAGTGCAGGATATCGTGTTCTGGATGGAGTAGAGGTCACTGGGTATTCTATATTTGACGATGGAAAGGTTTACCATCTATACTTGTACATGTTTGCAATCAATGTGATCCGTTACAGTAATGCTGCTAAGACTCTAAATCTGTGAAGGCAGGTGCAGAAGGCAATTGCGTTTGCTAGGAAAGCTCATCATGGACAGACAAGAAAGACAGGAGATCCATACTTATCTCATTGTATTCACACTGGAAAAATATTGGCTGCTTTAGTTCCACCAAGTGGTAAAAGAGTATGTAATTTCCTCCTTTTGATAACTCACGCCTTTTGAACTCAGATGTCATCTTTCTTGAAGATGCTGTCTGTTGTATCTACTAATGCAGCATTGATAAGTATAAATGTGACTTAGATTTGTCTGATGTGAAAGAATTTGGAAGCTATTTCATGAAAAGCAAATTCATCAATTCAATACAATTATATTTGAGATACGCTTTTTCATATTCGTGCTGGTGTGTATTAATATATCTTTGTTTTACATCTGGTTACCTTCTGATGTTGAAAATGACCTTATGTAGGCTATTGATACAGTTGTATCTGGAATCCTGCATGATGTAATAGATGACACTTGTGAAAATTTAGAAAGCATTGAGCGTGAGTTTGGTGCGGATGTTGCAAAGTTGGTTGCTGGAGTTTCTAGACTAAGTTACATTAATCAGGTATAATGCTATCATATGAACTCAAATCCAACATTCCCTGCTCTGTGAAATCAAGGTATCATATTGGTAAAACTTCCAGTCATGGCAGAGTTTAATCCTGGAGGACTAGTCAATTGTATTCTGACGTCACAATATTGACAATCAAATTGTTATTTTTCTTATTGTATTTCTTTTATTTTATTCTTTGTTTCCTATAAAGTTGCCTGCATCAGCTAAACATTTATAAATGGCTGTGCTGTCTAGTTACTTCGCAGGCATCGTAGAATGAATACGACTCAAGATACACTCAGCCATGAAGAGGTATACATCCCTGCTTATCATATCTTAAGCATTAACTAAAGTGCTAAAGATTGCTCCCTCGGAGCCACTTTGTGCATGCTGGAAGCTATCTTTTCGTGTCAATGTGTTCATCTCGTAGAATATTCCAAAACTAATGCCAAGACCATGGTCCAAGAGATAATGACAAAGATATTGTTTAGAACTTGATTTTTCGTAACATGTAATGTAGAATGTTGTAATATTACTAGATGATGTCTTTTATAGTTTAACATAGTAGCAGTATAACACCCCATGCAATAGATGTCTGTTAATACAAAAAGTACATCAAAATAAAATAATAATAATAAAAAAAAAAACCAAAATAAAAGTTTTTATTTTAATTTTTCAAATCTATCACCTGTAAGATCAGCTTATAAAGGTAGATATAACTGTTTTTTTTTTTTTATTTATTTTATATAATATATATGGATGTTAAATCTATCACCTGTAAGATCAGCTTATAAAGGTAGATATAACTGTTTTTTTTTTATTTATTTTATATAATATATATGGATGTTAAATCTAAAATGGTCGAAAGATGATTAATTTGATATATCACATATAAAAAACTGATAACAAATAATGAATTTATTAAACTTTAAAGTTTAAATATATTCAAATGTAAATAATCCAAATATTTGATTATTTTGAATGTCCTAATGGACATGGGTGAGAGTCCTGACCTGCATAGGTTACTCAGAAACACCAAAACTTGACATTTAAGATTAAGATGCACCAATAATTGGCACATAAGATTACAAGCAACAAAAGTTAACACTTGCACTTTGAAAATACTGCATTTACACATAGGGAGGAATGTAGATGTAACTCTCTGATGCTTCAAGTATTTTATGAGTAGCAGGTTGAGCACATCTGCTTCCCCACCCTTTTTGGCTTAATGGATAGTTTTTGTGGAGTTATAGTTATAATTGCATGGTATTCCTACTACTGCAATTTCTTTCTTCGTTTTCTTTTGGTTTGTCATCATTGGAAAAGATTTTATGCTAGACAATGTGGAGCTGGTAAATAAGTATTTATTAGATAATGGCTAGCACTATTTCTTTAAATTGAATATTCATCCACATCTCACGATGATATTTCTGATTAGGCAAATAAATTAAGAGCAATGCTGCTAGGCATGGTTGATGATCCACGTGTTGTTCTCATAAAGCTAGCAGATCGCCTTCATAATATGAGAACAATGTACTTACTCCTGGACTTGCTTTTTGTTCTTTTCCCCCTCCTATATGCATATATTTTGCTTTAGTTGTTATAATGCAATTAGTTTTTATCCTTTCAAGCTACAATTATCTCTTAAACACAGAATTAGTTAAATAATGACACATTGGTTATGGACATTTTATAGCTATGCCCTACCGCCTAGCAAAGCTCAAGCTGTGGCTGAAGAGACATTAGCTATTTGGTGTTCACTTGCTTCAAGGCTGGGTTTGTGGGCTCTTAAAGCTGAACTTGAAGATTTGTGCTTTGCAGTACTTCAGGTCTCCCTTGGTTCATTATCTTTAGGTTGCAATAATGTGTGGAGAGAAAAAATGTGACGTAGATATATGGCATTGTCAATCAGATTTAAAGGATGTTTATTACTATTCTCTGTAGCCTGAAGTATTTCGCCAGCTGCGAGCGGACCTTGCTTCCATGTGGAGCCTCAATACAAAGCCAGGCAATCTGAGAAGAATATCTGCAAAGTCAAATGCTAGTATGCAATTCCAAGAATGTGAAGAAACTGATGGACTGGATGAAGAATACACAAGCATGAAGGTTATGGTCTCTAATGTTGATACTAACATAAATCTTTAGAGAGCTGTTTTTTTTAGCAATTGTTTTTGGACCTTTAGTCAGGTAGGTAGTTGCCAGGATATTGTGATTTACAACCATCTATTTCTTGTCACTTCAAATTCCTAACATCTTCTTCTAGTTGCATGGCTCCATTATCTTCAAATTTTTCTACATGTGAAACTTACATTCGTTTTAAGGCTTGTTCATTTTCAACTGTGCGGGCGTCGTAGATATTTTCATTTTTTGTCAATTTGCAGGTTCTTCTGCAAGCAGTCCATCCATTTGATCTCTTATTGGATAGAAAAAAGCGTCTAGCTTTTTTTAACAATCTTGCCACATGCTCGGATACTTCCAACAAACCAAAGGTCGTGAGGGATGCTGCCGTTGCGTTGGCATCACTAGTAGTTTGTGAGGAAGCTCTGGAGCGGGAATTATTTATCTCAACCTCGTATGTTTTTAATGTCCATTGAAATAATTGAAATTCCTGTGGATCTGCTTTTAGCCTGGTGTGTTTGAGGCAGTAAAAGTCATTTACCTTGATATCCACCTTTTATATTGGCAGTTATGTTCCAGGCATGGAAGTGACTTTATCCGGGCGCCTAAAAAGCTTGTATAGCATCTACAGTAAGGTATGGGTCGAGTTGTAGGTCTTAAGTATTGTGCCACGCAAAATAAAATAACCACCTTGGCATAATCCATTATGAGGAGGTTAGAGATGGAAGCTTGCAATTATTACTTCTCAATTGTAATTTTCAAGTGGCAGAAGATGTCTTGAATAGAAAATACTGAGGAAATGTAGTAAAATGCATAGTTTGGGGATTTTGAACCCTCTTCATGGTGTCCGTCTAGACAAACCCTTCAATGGTTTTTGACACTTAGTTCTTATTTCTGGTTTTAAGTCCTGCATTGTTTTCTGTGATAATTTATTTAATGGGGGAAGTTATGAAAATTTCAATGATCGGTGGTTGTTTCTCCTTGCGTTGCTACTTTCTTCTTTCAATAAGAACATTTTTTTTACAACAGTGCATCTAATGGAACTTGAACTTAGAACCTTTATGCATCCAATACCCTCCAGATGTGGTTAAGCACTGCTAGTTTTAAGTGTTCACTTGATCAAAATCGGCGCTTGACAGAAAACGTAATTTATATTTGACTTCACTACTATCCAGATGAAGAGAAAAGAAGTTGGAATCAAGAAAGTATATGATGCCCGTGCATTGAGGGTCATTGTTGGAGACAAGAATGGGGCATTACATGGACAAGCAGTACAATGTTGTTACAATCTACTCAACATCATACACAGGTACTTGTCAATAATGTAGGTGTATTTTGTATGTGGCTACTCATTTTATTGAATTATTGTTGTTGATCAAAAGTGATTCCTATTGGGCTGTTTCTTCTTTCTCTCTCTGCTCAGACTGTGGACCCCTATTGATGGTGAATTTGATGATTATATTGTCAACCCGAAACCAAGTGGCTACCAGGTCAATATTTCCATTACGAGTTCCACTTCAAACTTTACAAGTCTACTGCTGCTTACATAATATTTTTCTAATCTCAGTCGCTTCACACTGCGGTTCAAGGGCCTGATTTCTCTCCTTTGGAAGTTCAGCTAAGAACACAGGTAAAATGATATCTCAAAGTCTGTCTTCAGGCGGCAAAATCTGTCTTTCACCAATGTTACAATGATTTTTCAATTTTAGAGAATGCACGAGTATGCTGAACATGGACTTGCTGCACATTGGCTTTACAAGGAAACTGAGAATGTATTGCTTTCCAAGATCTTTCCAAATGATTCTGACGAGAGGGATTCCTCTAATTATTCTGAGGAAATAGAAAATGAGGCTTCTGTTGGTGCTGACACGTTACTGAAATATAGTTCACTTAAAGTAGGGCATCCAGTTCTCAGAGTGCAAGCTGGCCACTTGCTTGCTGCAGTTATTGTCAGGTATATCACAATTGTTTTTCATACTGTGGTCATAATTTTAAAAAATTGCTAACATGTTGGCTAAATTTGATCCTCCAGAGTAGATAATGATGGTAGAGAATTGCTTGTCGCTGTAAGCTTCGGGCTAGCAGCCTCTGAAGCAGTTGCTGAAAGAAGATCTCCTTATCAATTAAAACGATGGGAGGCGTATGCAAATTTATACAAAAAGGTACTGTTTCAAATTTTGAAACAGTGATTCAGGCTTCAGTATTAACTGGGAAGGCAAAGTTCGAGTAATTTAAGAATTTCGTTTCTTGTGAAATTTAACTAGAAAATGGGTAAACGTAAATCGAAGTTACTTTTACCCTAATGGTTTTTGGTATTGTTGAATCTTCTTTTTGCTGATAAATTGGGGATAATTGAGTATGTTGGAGAAATTTAGTTAGAGCAGTAGGGCTTTATCATTTTCCTTTTTCTTTTTCTTTTCCTCTTTCTGTCTCTCTTTCTCTGTTTTCAATCTTGGTATTTGATCCCCCTATCATATTACAGGTGTCTGATGAATGGTGGTTTGAACCGGGACATGGGGATTGGTGCACCTGCTTGGAGAAGTACACACTTTGCAGAGACGGAATTTACCACAAGGTATCTTAGACACGTGTCTCTTCTGCATTCGTTGTTCCCTTGTGTTAAAAGCTTTTGTGTTTCTCAATTTTTCTTAGTTTCTGAAAATGGCATGTTGTATTTGTAAAATTGTTTGTTCCGTTGCTCCATGCAGCAAGATCAATTTCAGCGACTTTTGCCTACTTTCATCCAAGTCATTGAGCTGACAGAGTGGGAAGAAACCGAGTATTGGGCAGTTGTCTCTGCTGTTTTTGAGGGTAAACCCACCGCCCCTCCTGCACCAAACTCAAGCTATGAGAAGACTGGGCTTGCTTCTAATTCAGCTGTGCTGGATACTGGCATTAACAACAAGGTATTTTCATAGCCATCACATTTTTCTGTATCTCAATGAAGAAAATTGCTCTTCCACTTATTGTTGAAGGTTAGGTTCGATCTCTACAATATGATGATAGTTTCTTGGTTTAATTACCAAACCTCCCCCTTAGTCTGGTTTATTACTCTCAAATTAGTGAAATTGATCTCTCTTAGAAAAAGTTGGACACAAAAATCTTCCAAAGTTGCATAGAACCCCTGAAGTGTACAAATGTCCAACTATTCAATGTGTCGGATATAAACCAAGATACTTTCAAAGTGTTAGGAATAACCCCTATCAGTGGTGCATTTATAATTTCAGAAGATTAACATGAATGCTGTGATAATGCTGAACTCAGAGGGGTAGTATTCGTAGAATATGCTTATACGTGCATATTTATTTATTTACATGATGAAGTGAACGACAGGTACAACTGCTGAGGACAATGCTTCAATGGGAAGAGCAACTGCGGTCAGAAGCAGGACTCGGGCAATTTGGTCCAAACACAAAGTACAGAAATGTGGGTGCAGTTTCTCTAGATGAAGTTGCGGTGGTGTGTTGGCCCCATGGGGAGATAATGAGGCTGAGGACTGGGAGTACGGCTGCTGATGCCGCTAGAAGAATAGGGTTAGATGGAAAGATTGTCTCCATAAATGGGCAGCTAGTGCTGCCTGCCACAGAGTTGAAGGATGGTGATGTGGTTGAGGTCAGACTGTAAACCAAGTTCCAAACTACTTACTTTTATTTAGTCTACCCAACAAGTATATAACTATATATAGGTGTGTAGATTTGAAGAAACAAAGTGCAGGTCGAGATTATGTGAGATGAGCTTCAATTTGTGGTGTACTACTGTATAGCAGCATTTCATGTTTTTGATATCACTGTACATTAGTAAATTTGTAGGGATGATGTAAAAGGAGCATTTTTCGAGCGTATTTAAACCTTTGCATACTAATTTCTTTAACTGCGATAGGTTTGAAGCTATGTTTATGGGCTGATCATTACGCAAGTCCTCTGCTTATGAATCAATTCTCAAGATTAACACGAAATTCATGTGCAGCTGGATCATTTACTAATTACTATACGATTTTTGGTACTTTTTTTTTTTTGGGAAATTTACACACATACTCTACTAATTCCTACAAAATTACAATAATACTAGATAAAAAACTTATTACACCCCTGTCTGATTTATCATAAAAATTTAAATAGATACTAGATATTACAAATTGAGCAATAAATAAAGAGTTGCTTATGAATCCTGTAACTAGTGGGATTCATTCCAATAACACCCAACATCCGCTCAAACCCCAATCCCCTTCCCCAATCTAAAACTCTTCCATGGCGATTTACTGCAGATCAAGTGCAACAGCCTAAGAATGTGCGAAGTAGCGTCGTTTGGGTCGATTGCAATAGCCCAATCGGCTTCGGCCTCGCTCCGCCGACCACGGAGATGGCGTTGGAGGTGGAGGATCTGTCTTGGGAGATTTCAGGGGTTTCACAATCATGAATTTCGGGAATTTTTACTTTCCATTCTCATCAAGACGGAGGAGGTTGAGGACTTTGCCACGCACTACGAAGATCTCTTGGAGCTTTTTACCGGAAAAGTTGTCGTTGATGGTGCAGAGTATGTTGGTGGCCTGTTGAAGGGTAAGGTTGTACAAGTACATTGTTATGGAGAAAGAGCTTAGCATCGAAAATGATATTGTAGGTGTGTATTTTGGGTTTTTTCTTGTGATTCTCTGTTCATCAGATGGCTAGAAATGACGGGTGTAAGAGGAAAGGTTTGGAATTCCGTCGGTCGGGTGGGAGAGAAGGGGCAAGTAATAGAAGAGTGCCTTTGCTTCGCATCTTGTTGATACGGAGGAGAAGAAGGCGACACAATTCCTCGATGGTTTGAGGAGCAACATCCGACTCTTGATCACCAGCAATGGCTTCCTTGACTACGCCGAGACTGTTGAGCGTGCTCAGCAGATTGAGGCGTGCATTCAGTGAGACGCCCGTGCCCAGCCACCAGCCAGACAGACAGCCACCATTCCGCCACCCCAGCCAGCTCAGCAGACGAACAAGAGAAAGTGGGAGGATCGCAAGGATAAGAGGAACCGTAGACAGAGGGGCCCAGCTCAGGCGGGCTAGCCAGCCAGACAAGACCTGCCGGCATGTGCTACCTGCGGACGTCTGCACCGCGGGGAGTGTCTTGCCAGGCAGGATATATGCTACCATTGTCGCCGCCCAGGACATCGGATCAGAGACTGCCCAGACCGCCCTCAGCCACAGCAGGGCTAGAGACCGCCAGCTCAGAGACAGCCCGCACAGAGACAGCCAGCACCTAGACAGCAGGGCCAGAGGCCGCCAGAACAGCAGCAGCAGCGTGGAGCACCTGCTCATATTTACGCACTCGACCAGGAGCAGGCCGCAGAGCAGCCAGGTACCATGTCTGGCATGTTATCATTGTTCCATACTCCAATCTTCGCTTTATTCGATACCGGGGCGACACATTCGTTTGTCTTGGTCAAGTGCTTATCTACCTTAGGAGCCCAGGGAGTGAGTACTGTCGACCCTCTCGAGATCAGTCTCGCATCGGGAAGGAAGATAGTTACGAGTTCCCTGGCCAAGAACCTTAGCATCGTTATCGGAGGCCGAACTCTAGTTGTAGACGCGTTTGTGATCGATATGAATGACTTCGACTTGATTCTCGGCATGGATTGGTTGACGAGATACCGAGCAGACATCCGTTGTCGCGACTTGGAGGTGACGCTACACTTATCAGAGGGAGACCGCATCACGTTCTTTGGGACGAAGTCTCGAACTTTACCGCGCCAGCCCACACGCGCAGCCGAGCCCAGCATGCACGCCCTCGCGCCCAGGCCCAGTGCCGCGCCCAGCAGACCTCGCGCCAGCCCAGCAGGCCGCGCCCAGCAACCAGCGCCCAGGCCTAGCGCGGGTCCGCGACAGCCCAAACAACCGAGCCCAATACTTGATGTTTTTGCCCAAATCTCCCATGGCCCAAGAGCTGCGAATATTAGGGACTTAATGAGGGACTAATTCAGCTTAATTAGCCCTAAGCAAATGATTAGCAAAGTCACAAGTAGTGGTCGATATTTTAATGTGAGTGCATGTGGGCTAATGAATATTTTAATGTCTTGAGAAGTCCCTTGTCCCCCACCCTCGTGCCAGACCTGACCAGATTCACCTTATCCCTCATTGTGCTATGAATAATCCACATTTGACCATGCAAAAACGTGCAAGACCTCAGCCCCAAGACCCCATGTATGGTGGAGTGCTTTTCCCACTTATTTTGGTCTCTATTGACCCAACCTTGAGACCTCCGCCCCTCAGCCTATTTAAGACCCTTTTCCTCAGAATTTGGGAGCTCTTGGTTAGTTTAACACTCGCAAATAGTGATAAGATAGAAGAGAAACCGAGACCAAGCCCATAGGCCTTGCCACGCGCGCTAGGAGCCCGGGGAGAGGCACCACCGCACCGCAGCCATTTCCAAGCGAAGTCTCTCAGGGCTTATCGATTTCCAAGTGTTCCTTGGATTTGTATAAGTCCTTTGAGTGCATCAAGTTCGGCCATTTTCACTTCCAAGGCAAGCCAAAGTCCTAAGGCCGCACCTACCCACCATTTGAGCCCTAGCTTTCATTATCCATTTCTAGCCGAGGTAAGCTCGTGCTTCTTGAGTTATTTAGTCAATTTATGATATTATATGATTTATCAAGAGGTAAAACCGAGCCATACATGTGTTTAGAGGCAAGTTTCGAATTTAATGAATTAATGGCCTTAAAAATAAAATTCGAGTTGCATGCATGCCTAAGTCAAGATTGTTATTTTAATCACCCTTAAATATCATGTCATTGATGGTGTAAAAATTTCAATGTAAATGGAGTTCATTAGCTAAGTCATTTCATTCATGAGAATATGCTAATTTAGGCACCCAAGGCTTAACCTTATGCATGCAAGTTATGAACCATGTTCCTCACCATTTTAGCCATCATTTTTAATGATAATCATTCGGCCCAGAGTAGTTTTGTAAGTTATGAATGTTAGTTCGGACGTCAAGTGCTCGTACGTGCCATTTAGGCCCTATCGAGTGAACATGCATGTGGACCCGGGGTCCACTAGTGTTTCATGGCATATTTGTAGCACTTTCATTATATTATGTTCATATGTCATGCATGTTATAGGAGAAAGTCGTCGGAGGTCCGGCAAGGGCCGGCCTTGGTCACTGGACGCGCATACAGCGCGGTAATGCCCGGTCCCGTAGTCTGCCGTGCCCGCGCCAGCGTGCGCGAGGTACCCGCAGCCCCAGTGCCGCGACAGCGCGCCAGCAGCGTGATGAAGATCACGTGTCCCGATTGCCGATAAGCCACAAACCAGTGCCTTGAATCGCCGATAGGTGCCTCGTAGGTTCACACAACCGCGCCCCTTCGAAACGATAAAATTGCAAAAGAAATCTAGAAGAAATCTAAGGCAAAGTGTTTGAACAAAAGTTCGGTTTTTCTATTAATTTTTGAATGATAATTTCGAATGACAATGGGGCATATTTATAGATGCCAAACTAAGTCTATTCCTAATCTAAAAAGAACTCCTAGTGCTTGGAAATAAATAAAGTCCTAAGGAACTAAATCACTAATTCAAGCAATAAAATATTAAAGTCCTAAACAATCTAGAAATCATAATGGAATAAGGAAACCTAAATAACTAAGGGATCTTGAAAAGCCTTGACTTGCACTCCAAGCCAAACATCCCAACCGCCTACTCGCCGCTCTTGGGTCTCGTGCGCCTTGCCTTAGTTCTCGAGGATTAAGGTCGCGCCGCCCGTCCCCGCGCGTGCTTCCCCGCTGCGCGCCCAGCGGACTCCTCGCGCGCGTGCCTGCCACCCGAAACCTCCTCGCGCGCGTCCCTCGCGTCGCGCGCGTCTGCGCCACTCACCTCACCCCTCGCGACCGCATTTCGCCCACGTGCTAGCTGCGCGCTCTCTTCTACTGGGTCCCCCTCGCCGGCCTCGCATGCCCCGCACGCGATGTCTTGCGTCTCACCCGCCTGTCGTGCTAACCTCTTGCGCGCATGATAGGCCCAGCTCGAGGCGTTCTTCAGCTGCCTAGCCACATCCGCATCATTCCCATCCCCTTCAAGTGCTTCCTTGTCCTCAAGGATGAAATCAGGGAACTGCTCGCGCATCTCATCTACATCCTCCCATGTAGCCTCCTCCGATGGCAATTCTTCCCACTCGACTAACACCTCCCAACGATAGCGCCCCGCCTTCCTTACTTGACGATATTCGATCGCACGTCTTGGCCTCACAATGGCCCGTCCATCAGTTGCCGTTGCGGGTAGCTCTTCGCACCACTTGTGCGCCTCTCCTAGACTTCTTTTGAGCTGCGAGACGTGTATGACTAGATGAATGTGCGAACTCTGTGGTAACTCTAGGCGATAAGCTACTTGCCCTATGCGCTTCAAAATTTGGTAGGGCCCGTAATGGCGTACCCCGAGCTTAGTCGCAGCCCTTTGCGCCGTCGTTCGCTGCCTAAAGGGCCGCAGCTTCAAATAGACATACTCGCCTGGCTCAAAACTCTCTTCGCGCCTTTTGCCGTCGTGAAAGGTTTTCATGCGGTTAATCGACCCCTCGAGAGTTCTCTTCAGTTCCCGTAACATTAAGTCTCTTTCCTCAAGTTCTCGTCCTACTTCATCGTTGATGGCAACTCCTTCCGAATAATTTACGAGTGTAGGAGGTTTGCGCCCGTATACCAACTCGAATGGTGTAGCCTTGGTTGGGGACTCATGGTAAGTAGTGTTGTACCAATACTCGGCCCACGGTAGAAAGCTCTTCCACTTCCTCGGAAATTGGTGCACATAACATCGCAAGTATTGTTCTAACGTTCGGTTAGTCACCTCGGTTTGGCCATCCGTCTGCGGATGATAGGCAAAGCTCATTGATAGCTTGGTCCCTTGAAGTTTGAAGAACTCAGACCAAAAGCTACTCATAAAAATCCGGTCACGATCAGAGACAATCGAGCGTGGCACCCCATGTAACTTCATGACATACTCAATGAAGAGCTTGGCGATAGACTTTGCCGTGTAGGGATGCGTGATCGGTATGAAGTGCGCGTACTTCGTCAGTCGATCGACTACGACCATGACTCCATTGAACCCATTAGAGATAGGTAGCGCCTCGATGAAGTCCATGGTGATGTCCTCCCAGATATTCTCGGGCACGGGTAAAGGCTGCAATAGACCACTCGGTCGTCGCGCGTCAGCCTTAATGCGCTGGCACTCGTCGCAGTGCGCGACGTACTCCCGAACCGCGCTTTGCTGCCCTGGCCAAAAGAAGGTATTGGCCATCCTCATCCAAGTACGGTAGAATCCCGAGTGTCCTCCGATCTTAGAGTCGTGGAAGTGTTGCATGATTTTCTCGCGGAGTTGTCCGCTGTCGGGCACAAATACTCGGCCCCGATGTAGCACTAAGCCGTTGTGCTGCTCATAATCGGCTACGGCTGCATCACCGGCCTTAATGTCTCGGCGCAAGTTTTGGCATTGCACATCATCCTCTTGCGCTTTCCTCACGTCTTCCCAAATTGTCCACGTAGGCCCGGTTATAGTCTCGAGCTCGGCGACGTCTGTCCGTCTTGATAATGCGTCGGCCACGGCATTCTGTCGTCCCAGTCGATACACTATCTCGAAGTCGAAA